TTAGGAATATTGTATAATTAACGTTAGAAACCGTTTAAAGGCCCTCTTGTAGATTGAACGGTCTTTTATACTTCAGCTGCATGATTTTTTTTAATAGAGTAAGGAAAACAGGTTTCTTATGCCGGCAGAACTAATACCAGATACATTGCCGGTGTTTCTGTGTCGGGACGCATGGCTCGAACTATTTGTGCGATTACGCTCATAGCTGGCAACATCCTTTAGCAGAAGATAAAGTGAAAAATATTTTGAAGCTGTTATTCAATCTCATCAAACAACCCCACATCCTCCATATTTTTCTTACCTCTTTATCGGCATTAGCCAGAACAATACGTGAAGACTCCGTTATAGGCCATTTCTTTTTCATAACCAAATTCTTTGGGGGCTCATGATTTACACCGGCATCAACAGACCAAATTGTAATCGTTTGCCCAGCTGTAATTTTCGTGCCCCGTGTAAACTTGAAAGTAAGTTCCTCATTTCCAGCAGTATGTGTGATTTGCCAGCCTGTAAGGTTTATTTCCTCTGTACCTTTATTATGCAATTGAATGTAACGTCCGTTATTGCCGACTTCGATAATTTGCAAATCAGATTTAGATGTTGCATTAATTGTAAAGTCTGCCAAACTACGATCTTCACTTTCATCAATTACAGTGCGCCGACGTTTAATAGAGTTATCAATTGCGCCGGGTGTCAGTGAACGGCGACCGCTGGGAATAGCTCGTCCAGAGCGGTAAGGACCAGACATAGAACTGACATTTAAATTAGAGCCATTAGCGTAGCCTGAATCAACATTGCTGGATAAATTGTTAGCGGCGGATGATCCAGGCGAGATAATATTAAGGCGTCTTTCTTCACTGTCTAATAACTTGTCGTAAGCGGCTATCTCTAGATCAAGGGATACCTTAATATCCATAAGATCTTGGTACTCTTGAAGTTGATGCGCCATCTCATCACGCATGCGTTGTAACTCTTTCTCCAATGTAGCAACATAATTGTTATGACGATTTCGTTCATTATCCAATAAATCTTCCAACTCACGTATGCGAACCTTAAAAATACAGAATCAGGTTATGAAACTCTATTTAGAAATTAAGAACCTTACATTTAGACTAGTGTTGGTTGTCTCCAAATCGTGAATTTTGAAATTGAGACCATCAACTTTGGTACGCATTGAGCGTACTTCTTCGCTCGAATGACTTAAGTTGTTCGCAGCACGATTTGCAGCCGCCTGGAGATTTTTTACTTCGTTATCATACAATAAAACAATTTCTTCACGATTTGTTTTCATCTGGACCTCGTATTGATCACGTAACTCTTGTAGGGATTGTTGTAATCTTGCTTCATATTCCTTTGAAAGGCGTCCATCGATTTCGCTAATCTCAACCTGTCGTCTGGACCTAGTTTCTGACAATTCTTGAACGTGCACTTGATCTTTAAAACTCAATTCTTCACGCAAACTCTGATTTTGATTTTCCAAGTCAACTCGCGATAACGTTTCGCCCTCAAGTTGTTTCCGGACATCAGCTGCGCAGTCAGTCGATTATTTTCTGCTGCGAAATCGTTAGCTTGTCCTTCGGCCTTCTTACGATCATTAAGGGCCTGATTATATTTATTGTTCACATCATTATACCGACTTTCATACACGCGAGCACCGTTTTCAGCTATTGCACATTCTTGACACTTCTTGTCCATCCTGATAAGAAAATGATTACTATTTAACTTTAACATTACAAGTAAGTTGTACACGGTAATCAAGAACACACTACTGTGGACTTCGAAATCATTACTTTTATATTTGTAAATCCCGACGGGATTTGAATTGGCGAATTCTGATTTACAATGAGGAATGTTGTAGTTTCATAGGCCTATGTTAAATGAATAAACAATACTCTAGAATTAACATTAGGCTGCACGTATAAATATTAGATTTATGAATAACAGTGATAGCAAGCACATTAAGGCTTCTTACTTATTTAATGTGATCCTTTGGACATAAATTAAAAATGACGAAATATACAACGTTACAACTTCGCTTTTTTTAATAAAAAATTGGGCAAAGTAAATCTTTAATTGCAAAGAAAAGTGGAATAGCCGTTCGCTTTGATTTCCTTTAGTTAAAATCAATGTGCAGTGAATGAACTAATCGCAATGAAAATTCTACAATTAAGAAAAGAGGTTTGTTTACGTAAGGAGCTTACGTAATTTAATACGGAGCGTATTATTCAATAAACAATTTTTCTTTTCGTATTTGAATTGAAGGAATTTAGGAATCCGTATACTTAACTAACGAATGATTTTAAAAGATATTCAATCGATAAAAGCAAAGTAGTTGAGGAAGATAATTTTATATCTTTCCGCTTTTCAAATATTAAAACCATAACAGTAAGAAAATCTACTCTGAGGAAAATCTTTGAAAATTATTATGTCCATTCAAGCACATTGAAAATGCTAAATATGTGAATTCGTCAGCTGATCTGACTACAAAAATATTTGGATTTAAACCATATCTCTCATTACACAATATGTGATTAAAGGTTTCTGAGAGTCAAATGAAATACAATCTCTTTCGATGTGTTGCTGCAACACAAGGCAAAAGATGTCAAGAAATCCCTAATAGAAATATATATATTTTTTAGCTGCAGAGTGCTTTTGAATTGCTTAATTTGAAATTAAAAAGCCGAAGCTTCAACACGTTCGTTAATCCTTTATTCCAAATGTTACTTAGAAATCTTACCGTTTAGAAGTTCATTTGCACCTGTTATTTCATTATCTCGTAATGTGTTCAAAACGTTACCCAAGTTGTAGATAAGGGCGCATAAAATTTTTCTGTGGTTTTTTTTTGCGCTCTCGCTTTAGAGCATAGACTTCTCATAAAAGCAATAACAAGTTATTCATATGCGTATATATATATGACATCATCACTATGCATTCATTGTATCTTTTCATCTGTATATCCAACGCAGAGGAGGAGAATACTACATTTGGTAAATGCTTTTTCAAAAGCAGATCTTTGTTCATCTTGCAATCGTATGTCGTGCGTATTGATTGGTCCGGTTCAATATGTTGTGTTATGTTTACATTGGATTAAAGATTTTTCCATTCCCTGTTTTGCTATGTCATAACTAAAAACCATTTCACAAAAAAAATAAAGGTACCTAATTTTTGGGAAACAATTGAATTATGGCAATTATGTCTGCACCTATCTATTCACGAAAGACTTTAAATAATGAAACCGCTGCTACATCACCAATAATTTTGTACTGACAAAAAAATCCTGGAACATCAAGCCTATTTTCGTTGCAGTACATAATACCTTACTTATACTTGTTGTATTGAAACTTTTCAAAATATATGTAAGCATTGTCGAAGATAAAAATGTTTGCTTTGAATATGAACGCAATGTTTTGCACACAAAAACATTATGATGATGTCATTCATATTTGTGTTGAATGGTGTTAACTATGCTTGTACAAAATGGTTTTACCATAAAAATATATTTAGAAAAACGTTCTCTGGTCGAATTACCTTTGTTTCAAATCATCATTTTCCTCCCATAGACGCTTAATGTCAATCTCTAGTTTGGCTTTTTCTTTTGAAGTTTCATCCAATAGTTTACGTGCGGCGTTTAATTCTTTTTCGTAAATGACCTTCATATTGGTTGTTTCGCGGGTGACAGTATCCTGAGCCAATTGTACTTCTTGCGTTAGTCGATTATTTTCATTTTCCAAGTTTCGCATCCGATCAATATAGCAAGCTAAACGGTCATTTAAATGTTGCAATTCCTCCTTTTCTTGTAAACGACTGGAACGAGTGGGGCTAACAGGGCTGGTGGTACTTAACCGTTCATTTGATTTTTGCGCTAACATAGAAGGAGAAGATCTTGATGTCCGCCCAGTTGATAATGTGGAACGTTTCTGCGACATTTCGTTTTGTGTATTAAAATTTTTATCACGGAAAATAATTGTTTGCAATTTTATTTTGTTAGTTTCTGTAGAATTGTTCAGTTTTTGTATTTACATCCGCAAACACGCCTGCACATTCACGTCTGCACTGTGTCAATTGAAATATTGGACTAAGCGCTTAACACTTCTGAAAAAAATCATCATTTATGCCAGTGGTGTTAACTCATAAAGCTAAAATAAAAAACGAATCGATATTATTTTTTGAACACCAATAGTTGTCTGCATTGTATGCTTTATAGTTGTTAAACAAATTATATGCATATACGAGATAATATAAAAACCAATATTTTCTTACCATCGCTCCACTGAAGTAACTTAATTCTTACGTTGTTAATTTGCTTTTCAACTCAATACTAAATAAAACAGCTCCTAATGCTTTCTTTACCCTCTCACCTAAGGGGTCGA